GCCCTGTGTACTTGGCATACTGTAGGTACTTGAGCAAATGCATTTCGAGAGATGCTCTTATGGCTCATTCAGACACATGAGCAAGCTGCCAGCTGCCAGAAGTGCAACAGTAGCTAACAATAAATATCACACACACACACACACACACACAGAGATCCACGAGCTAGGGATGCTGTCACACTGATAAGACTATCTGTCTAACATAATGTTATAGACCCTCTTTGCACTCAAGCTTCAACAGTCCAGCAATAAAACAAAAACTCGAAAGGTGATTTACTGTGAGTTTAACCATATCAGTTGAGTTTACCTACAGATAGAGGAAGATGGATTACAGTGGACAGAGTAACTTGCATTAATTATAACAGCAGCCTACAGTAGGGAAGTACAGTAACAAAGTTACAAAGTACAGTAAGTACAGCTTACAGTGCCAATAACAATAACAAATATAGGCCTATACAAAGCCAATCGTAGCAGTTTTAGTTCTACGTACTGTATACACGAAATTTGACACGAAAACAGCGAAATTATTCTCACACGTACAGTAAATGCACGCACGCATGTGTTTGTGAGAGATGTTTCGCGTGATTAGATTTTGACCTTCCTCTTTATGCGCGTCAACTACACGAACTTCTACATTTGATGCGGAAAGATAAGGAAGTGACTTTTAGTATTTAGAAACACACGGTTTCATGTATTCATAACACACAGATCCAAACATGGCCACTTCTGTAAGACATTCTTGACGCAAAGAGACACGCTCCCATGTTAACCGCGCACGCTTGCACACGCTTCATTGATTATGATCGTCGCATCGCGTCGCGTCGCGTACAGTGAAAGTATCGTACAAACCTGCGTGGCCCGGCGAAGACGGATAACTGCTCTCCCCAAACATCAGTCTGAAGTCCAGCTCCTCTCTGTAGTTAGTGGTCATTGCATTAGAGACCTGAAGCTCTACTTTCTTCTATTAAATGACAAAAAACAAACAAGTCCATGCGTGCGCAAACGCAACTATGACACTACAACTGTCTGCGAGCGTCACTTTGGTTGACAAAACAGAGATGGTGTCAAAACCCGGAACACACGGTCCAAAATGTCTTTTTTCCCCTCAGAAGTTGGTTAGATCGAGTCGTTGATGGCGTTTCTTCTCGGACTTTGTTGACTTCCCGCCGTGTTTAATAACCCCATGCTGGGTTTGCTGTTGATCTGGAGTCTCGCGCACATGTAGATGGCTAATAGTAAAGTTACATGTTACACTGCGACTGCAGACGTGACGTCACGACATCTGACAGACCGCAAACACTCGCAGAGCGCGCGCGCAAACACCAGCAATGTGTGCGAGACGACGTTATAAACAATCCATATGAATGCGCGCAGATTATATCGGTTAATACACACTTATTAGTTTGCAAGGTCAGAATATGGTTGTGGCTCAAAACATATGAAGTGCCTTTACACACCCACACACAAACCATGGTAACCACAGTTTCCGCTTAAATAATTGCCATTACAGTTCATGTTAATACTGCAAAATAAACAGCTAATAATGGTATCTCATTCACAACGGTGTAAGTCTCATCAAAACAACAAAGCATACTTTGTTAGAGTAGACGACATTTTCTGTTTGTCCCGTTTTAGACGGGGGACTAACTAGACGGAAACGTCTAGAACGTATTCGGTAACACTTTATTTTAAGGTGTCCTTGTTACACGTTACATGTACTTACTATTGTAATAACAATAAATTATGCATAATTGCATGCAAGTAACCCTAAACCAAACCCTAATCCTAACTCTAACCATATAGTAGGTAATTAATTATTATGACTCGGTACTTAAATGTATAATTACATGTAACAAGGGCACCTAAAATAAAGTGTAACCATTGTCATTATTATTATTATCATCACTGTAGTTACAATACAGTTATTATAGAACGCGGTTACCATTTGTTTTTGTTTTTTTTAAACAAAGGGCTACCTACACACACACACACACACACACACACACACATATATATATATATATATATATTTGTTTTTGTTTTTTTTAAACAAAGGGCTACCTACACACACACACACACACACACACACACACACACACACACATATATATATATATATATATTATTATTATTATTATATATTTTTTGACACATCATATGTGTATTATAATGCCCAAAATGCAGTCTAGTTATGCAGCTTACAAGGTTTCGACATTTGTGAGTCACTGTACAGTACATTGGGGGACAAAAATAAATAAAACGCATAGTTAAATGGTTTATTTCACAATAATGCTGAAAACAAAACAAAACAAATACTTCAAATAAATAAAGTTTTATGACATGTTATGGTACTTCTGGTACTGTAAGTACTTGCAGATACACTGCACCCTTCTGGTGAAGGGTGGAAATCTGTCGAAATAACTTTAAAAGTGTGTTTAATAAAAATCTCATTATTCCTCCAGGCAAAAATTGTGGCAGAACGCAAATAACAAACCAGCACTAGTATGCAATAAGACAGAGATGGCACTTGGAAGACTGAATTTAACAAAACTTAAAAGCAAATACAAAGTGCACCGTTATTTGTCAGATACAACTGCACTCTGCACTTTAATGAAAGGGAATGAATGTGTTTAAGAGTGAGTTCAGATGGTGTTTGGCCAATGTTAACGTGTGGTCTGACCACAGACACCATTCACAACTTTCGTCCTGCATATCATTTCCTCTTCCTCTTCCTGTGGGACTTCACTTATATGTCTCTTTCGCGCTGCTGACTCATTGGCATCTAATGCTGCACACTTTCTGTCGTCCCTCTAGCGTTTACGCTGTGCTCCTCTCCGATTCGGCCCCCTGGAAGCCCGAGAGTGTGCAAACACACTGTAGCCGCGGCCTGCTCTGCCAACTTCTTTGGTTTCTCCCTGAGGAGAGCAAAGCAGAGACAGAAGAGTGGTACAGTTGTCCCCTCTGCATTACTGCAGTGTGTACGTGTATCACAAACCAAACTCACCACAGAGTAGAGCGGTACTTCTTATCGTCCATGATAACCGCAGACTGGAAAGCTCGATCTTGAGTCCGCTGTTCCTGAGAAGTGAACAAACTGAGTTTAAAGAACCGCAGAAATTGATTAACAGATTCGAGAAGGTTGCCGATTCAGTTTCTATTTCACAAATACGTCAAGGGACTGTGGCATGAATGTAATGAAGACTGACTTGGCGATGACAGGTATGGACACACTCGCAGCCACGGCCTGGATATAATCACAGTGGACTGGATGCCGCGGACGCTCTTCTTTCATCCTCACAATGAAAACAACACAATATAAAGATGTTCTAAAATAGCAAGTCATTGCATTCAAGTCTCCAGTCAAGACAAGTCGAGTTGCAAGCTTCAAATCCTAAACAAGTCATTAGCGCTGTCTGCCCAAATTATTGTCTCTGTATGAATTACTACAATACACTTAAAGTCAATATTTGTCTATAGTAAGTATAATTATAAAGATGTAATAATTAGTGGCGTTTCATTGAGGAATGGATCATTGTTTGTGAACAAATATAGACCTAAGTGAATGAATGTTTCAGTTGTTAATGATTCAGTGATTTTAATGAATCAACTGAGTCAAATATTTAATAACTTGCTAATACGTCATACAGGTGCTCATTTATCGCCACCTACTGACGCACGTCTACAGAAATAGACATAGCTTTATTGACATGATGTTTTTTTTCCAAGTCACAGGCCTCAAGTCCAAGTCAAGTCTCGAGTCATTGTTGTCACAGTCTAAGTCTTCTTTGATTATGTCGAGTCGAGTCACAAGTCCTCAAATTTGGGACGAGTCCAAGTCAAGTCTTGAGTCATGTGACTCGAGTCCACAACTCCATCTATAACCAGACTTTTGAAGAAAGCGTCTCACCTGCCGTGCACTGCTATGGCCGCCACGGTCAGCAGATATACACGGGACACTGAGATAACGTGAAATATAAACAGTAGGTTTATTGAACACAGAGCAAGGAGCATCCAGGTAAGTGAGCGGGGAGTGGGATAAGTCTCTTGGGTCCTATCTGAGTGTTAATGTCCAATTCCTTTCCAGGGAATCCGAGGTGCTGAAGGAGTGGAGAGACGGTGGAGTTCTGGAATGGTGGCGATCGAGGAGCAGAGAGATCATGTAACTAGCAGGTGACTAAACACATGTTAGAGCAAGGTAAGTCCCACATACTATGTATGAGACCAGACAGTGAGTGTGCGGGAGGAGTGCGAGGATATAGTGCTGCTGATTAGTGCTGACAGGTGGCGGTGCTCAGTAATCAGGTGATTGTGATCTGGTTACCTGTGTCTTGATCCTTGCCTGTTATCTCGTTTTGTCTGATCGCTGCCTGCCCTGAAGTTTATAGCCTGTTTCGGAATTACCCTTTGCCTTGCTGTTTCGGACTGTGTTTGCACCTTGCCTGGACTCTAGCTCGTCTTGTGAATTCCCCATTTGCCTCGCCCTCAGGATTATGTTCGCAGGAGATCGACCACGCCCGTTTACTGGACTACTCTTGTGTCTTGCCCACGATGTAAAGCGTAAGGTGAATGCTGGAATGTCTTTATAGTGCATCTCCACTGTGTTGATGGATGGTACCCAGCATCTTACTCTTTTTCAAATTCAAAAAGCTTTTGTTTATTTCTAGTTTAAAATATGATTTTAAATGCCAGATTGTCCGCGTGGTCTCTTGTGTATGTTTGGCACAGACCCAAACCTGTACCTTTGTAGAGTATTCTTCGAGACAGCCCATATTCACATCCACAGCTGCCACATCATTTTCCCTGTTCAAGTTTCAATGTGCATTCATTTAGAGCTTATTTTTGATATCTAATACTTGGTCTAATTTCAAGTCAAGTCACATAGCAATTTATGCCATACAAGTTGCTTCAATGCAGTATGACAGTAAAACAAAACAATAATCTATAACTCTCTATAATGTCAGTGCAGTTAAATCCATACTATTACTGAATATTATTTGTCTTTTAAACCCCAACTAAAAGTAAGCCAGGTCACATGAATATATGATACTAACACAAATAAGAACATCCAACTCACACAAGTTTAGCCACAGCCAGCGCTCTCTCTGGATCGGCCGTTCCCTGAAACACAAGCACAAAATCGGGTTGTATTTTAAAACTAGATATGTACATTTTCTGAAGAAAATGTGAGTGGTGCTTGCCGTGGCAAAACTCGGCACTCGGTTGCTAGGGTGTGTTCTAGGTGGCTGCTAAGGAGTTGCTAGGGTCTTCTGGGTGGTTGCTTGGGCGTTGCTAGGCAGTTGCTGAGGTAATCTGAGTGGTTGCTAGGGCATTGCTAGGCGGTTGTTAGGGTATTCTGGGTGGTTGCTAAGGTGTTCCTTTATTTGACCCTCTAACTCTAGCACGTTCTATTCTATTTTAATTATACTTTATATTCTTCTTTGTTTTTATAAAAAAAAAAACACTAGCTTTCTATTTTTTCTATTCTATCTACTTGTTTTTCTTTGTGTGTGTGTGTGTATATGTGTGTAGTTTTGACTGCTTTTATTGTCCTCATTTGTAAGTCGCTTTGGATAAAAGCGTCTGCTAAATGACTAAATGTAAATGTAAATGTGTTCTAAGTGGCTGCTATGCGGTAGCTATGGTAACATGGGTGGTTGCTAGGGTGTTGCTATGAGGTTGATAGGGTACTGGTTGCTAGGGTACCTAGGATGGTTGGTAGGGCCGTTGCTAGGGTACCCAGGGTGTTTGCTAGGGTAATCGGGGTGGTTGCTAGGGTGTTGCAATGTGGTTGCTAGGGTACTTGGGGTGGTTGCTAGGGTGTTGCTATGCGGTTGCTAGGGTACTTGGGGTGGTTGCTAGGGCATTGCTAGGGTACTCAGGGTGATTGCTAGGGTAATCGGGGTGGTTGCTAGGATGTTACTATGCGGTTGCTAGGGCACTTGGGTGGTTGCTAGGGTGTTGCTATGCAGTTGCTAGGGTACTCGGGGTGGTTGCAAAGGTACTTGGGGTGGTTGCTAGGTTGTTCCTATGCAGTTGCTAGAGTACTAGGGGTGGTTGCTAGGGCGGTTGCTAAGGTACCTAGCATGGTTGCTTAGGGCCGTTGCTAGGGTACCCAGGGTGGTTGCTAGTGTAATTGGGGTGGTTGCTAGGGTGTTGCTATGTGGTTGCTAGGGTTACAATTAATAACACATTAATAACACAACTCAAACTATTTTTTTTTTATATATATTATATAAATTCAGCTGATAACATAGTATACACTCAATCTGAAATGCTCAAATGCATTCAACTTTAGCACATAACTCATCACACAGATATAAGTTTGTTAATAGTGTTCATCGTATGTTTTATTACGTCTTAAATTGATTTTTCTGTATATTTCTGCCATATGTACATTAACTGACAGTCACCACTGATAAGCTACCACTAAATATTGTAGAAACTTAATTTGCTGTAAAGTTGCTTTGCAATGATTTGTATCGTGAAAAGCTCTGTACAAATAAACTTGACTTGACTTGACTTGATATAAACCATAACATGCCCAATCTGAGACATGCTTTGAATAAATAAAAGTGAAGAAGTTCACATACTGACCATCTGAAAGACCACATGGCCCTTCTCTTTACTGCAGGTATGAAACATCACACACTCATCTGCAACAAAATCAGCCGTCTCCAAAACATCTGAAGACACATAAGAAGGTTTAGTAACCTCGTAAAGCCTGAGTTTTTTTTTTTTTTTTTGCTGTCATTCATATGGTAAAATGAACTTCTGGTGGCTTGTGATCAGTGAGAAATCAATGGGATCTTTATAACAGCACAGCAGATACTATACAATGATGATTGAGAGATGAACAAATAAACACTGCTCAAAAGCCTGATGATCATATTTGATACTCATATTTGAACAGAAAAAAAAAATTAAAGGATACTCAAGTAAAGCTGAGCTGCTTCAGTGCAATAAGCGTTTATTTTGAGATATTATTAACAATTAAACATTTATTTGTATGTTTACTTTTTTTTAAATCACAGCAAAAAGACATGTGAAGCACAAGCTGAAGGTGGACATTGGTACATTCACACTAAAAGAGTATAAACTATATCAACCAGATGACAGAAGGCATGTAGTAGGTTGTGTACAAAAGGTTTTTCACCAATATTTCATCATGTTGATCATTTAGAGGCCTTAGAAATGAAACAAAAATCAAAAATGATACAGTGGGCTTTATAGGGTTAATACATAAGTTGGTCTGATTTCTCACCACTTAGAGCAGCTAAAACATGTTAAATGTGCCTGAGTGACATACTGTATAATACAAAATAATGTACCGTTTACCACTCTCTCACACTGGGCCATTTTGATGTCAATCAGCTCCTGAAATACACAAGGGCTATGAGACCATGTGCACATTTAGCAGATTTCAAAGCAAGTGCATTAGCTTCAGATGGTGTGAAACGTGCCATGCTCTGGTGTAAATGTTCATCCTCACCTCACAGTACACAATATCTGCACCGTAGTCCAGAGCCAGCAGCCTCATGGGCAGAGAGCCCACCCGCACCATAGGGGCCAGAACAGTCTTTTGAGCAAAACACAACCTGCCCACACCGCTCGCCATGATCATCTTCACCACCCATCCACCAACAGCTGTTTATGAGGGCCAATGCAAATACTGAGATACGTCATGATCTTATAAAAACGGAAATTATCTGTGAAAGTTAAGTCTGTGAATCATTACTATCATACACAACAAGCATTTAAATGACACCCTCACATTTGTTACCCACTTATTTTCAGAAATATATTGCTAATAATACTAACCTTATGAAAATTTACTATGGTTGTACTACAAATAAAACAAAAACAAAAAAACATGGCTACTGTAGTTAAACCAAGGTAACCACAAATTAACCATGGTTCCCTTTCGATACTACACTCGTACTGCGTCTTGTCTTAAGGCCCCCTGGAAGAACTCCCGCTGGATGGAACAGGGCGTGGCCATGGGGATGGTTTTGCAGAAGGACAGTTGTCACGACAGATGCCTCCAACTCAGATTGGGGGGCGCTGTACGAGGGCATACCGACTTTCGGCCACTGGTCGAAAGCGGAAAAAGGCTTCCACATCAACTGCCTGGAAATGCTAGCAGTGTGTCGAGCCTGTCAGTTCTTCCTGCCAGTCCTAAAGGGGCACCATGTGCTAATCCGATCAGACAACATGTCTGTGGTGCCCTACATAAATCACCAGGGAGGCCTCTCCTCGAAGCATCTCTTCTCTCTGGTAGAGCACCTCCTGGAATGGGCTCAACTCAACCTGCGCTCGCTGAGCGCAGCGCATATACCGGGCAAATTGAACCAAGGAGCGGGCATCAACCCAACCTGCGCTCGCTGAGAGCTGCGCATATACCAGGCAAATTGAACCAAGGAGCGGACATGCTATCAAGGAGCAATGTCCCCTCAGGGGAGTGGACGCTCCATCTGCAGACGGTTCAGAGGATCTGGGAGATCTTCGGCGAGGCCGAGGTAGACCTCTCCACCTCAGAAGACAACTCTCACTGCCCAGTTTATTTCTCAAAGTCCAAGGACGCATTGGCCCACGATTGTCCCAACCTCCTTCTTTATGCTTTTCCCCGATCGCCCTTATCCCACAGGTAAGTAAGGGAACAAAGACACAAGGTTCTCCTTGTGGCCCCCCTTTGGATTAACCTAGCTGTGGCTATCAGAGCTAACTCAGCTGTTGGTAGCGGCCCTTTGGCCCGTTCCGCTGAGACGGGATCTCCTCTCTCAAGCGAACGGGACAATATGGGATCCTCGGCCCGACCTATGGGCCCTGCACCTCTGGCCGCTCGACGGGAGCCTTTGAGCCTCCCAGAGCGAGTCTTAAACACAATTTCAGAGGCTAGAGCCCCGTCTACGAGACGCCTCAACGCCTTTAAGTGGTCTTTTTTCTCCGCTTGATGTCCAAACTGCGGCAAAGACCCTCATACTTCCGATTTGGCAGAGGCGTTGTCATTTCTGCAAGAGCTGCTGGATAAGGGACGCTCCCCATCCACGCTCAAAGTCTATGTGGCGGCTATAGCGGCCTCTCATGCTCCTATTGCGGGCCAATCGGTGGGCAGAAACAGCGTGGTTATCCGTTTCTTAAGGAGGAGGAGGAGGCTGAATCCGCTTCGTCCCCCTACCGTCCCTTCATGGGATCTGCCCACTGTGCTGAGAGCCCTGAAGGGCCCAGCTTTCGAGCCGATACAGTCTGCCAACATTCGGTCGCTATTGCTGAAGACTGCTCTGCTTTTGGCACTGGCATCAGTAAAGCGAATAGGGGACCTGCAGGTGCTCTCCATTAGCCCTGCCTGCCTGGAATTTGGGCCTAACGACTCTAAAGTCGTCCTGAAACCAAGGCACGGTTACGTACATAAGGTGCATTCAGAGCACAGGTCATTACGCTCTCCGCACTTCCTCCCTATGAAGAGGACAGAGAGTTATCTTTGCTCTGCCCTGTCAGAGCTCTGAGAATCTACATTGAGCGTTCCGCCCCTTATAGGCGGTCCGAACAACTCTTTGTCAGCTTCGGTAACTGCACCAAAGGGCTTCCGGTCACGAAGCAAAGACTCTCTAGATGGATAGTAGACTCCATCTCGCTAGCGTACTCGGCCCACTCGACTAGAGGCATCGCCTCGTCATGGGCATGGTCCAGTGGTGTGTCCATCGCGGATAATTGTGAGGCGGCCGACTGGGCCTCGCCGTCCACATTCGCAAGGTTTTATAACCTGGAAGTCCCAGCCTTGCAGGCCAGGGTCCTTTCCGCTTGAAGAGACACGCGCTGTGTAAACAAATCTGGCAGAGAGCCCTTGGCCATATCACACTCAAGTTGTCTGGCATTAGTTCACCTGTTACTGTGACTGTACTATGTTCCCATAGCTTCTTAAGACAAGACGCAGTACGTGTGTAGTATCGAAAGGGAACGTACTCGGACCGAACTTCACTCTAACGCCTGTTTCACACATACTCCGTCTGCAGTGCGTATGCATTGCGTATTTTTTTACGCACCCATGTTAACGGATTACAGCGTTCACACTGCACGCGGTTGCGGTCCATCAGTGTGTTCCAGGAGTGGCGCGTCTGCAGCAGTGCAGCGATCGTTTACGCACAGAGTCTATTTTTGCTGTGCTGCACGCCCTGAATTAAAGTGACAGCTCTTTGTTCGCGGTAAAAATGAACATGGATTGACACGGAAATGTAGTAATTTCACAATAAATTGATACAATTAAAGTCTACTGTGTTTCACAGTCAACACGTGGCTTTTTGGCTAGGTTTAAAACAAGAAAAAGTGCACTTTTAGATAAACAAGGCAACATAATAAATGCACTTGTGGAGGTAGAAAAACAAAGTTCTTTAAGACCCCCGCGGGTCTTTTTATTGCTTGTAATAAAGATTTAAATGCAAAAGGCACGAGAGTCGACTGTTTCTGTCAGTGGTGAGTTTTAATTTTAAATGTTTGTGATAGCCTAACAAGAAAAGTAGGCTAAATGCTTTGTTTAAATGTGTTGCCGCTTGCTTGAGCAACTTAATATACAAACCTAGAAGTCAAATGCATGAATAATATGTTGTTTGGATTTATTGAGTTTAAACCATAGACTGTATAAAAACAGGTTTAAACGAATGTCTATGAAAGATTGTTACTGCACTGTGATAAGAGGATCACAATGCTGAAAAGGCATTTTCAGTAACTACGTTTGGATTTGAAATCAAAATAATGGATAAATGTTGTGTTTGAGGTAAGCAGCCGTGGATCAATAGCGGACTGCAAACACGTCCTGTTTGAAAGCACAATGAGTCTGTGCTGCTTCTGCACCGCATACGTAACGCACACGGACTGCATTAAGCTCAGTGTTGCCAACTGCTTTCAATTGAAAGTAGCTAAAACTGGTAGCTAAATGTCACTAGAAGACATCACAATGGCAAATTCACTGATCTATATAAAGATGAACGTAGATCAGTGGGCAAGATGAGAACTTAGATAAGGTTTGTCCAAGAAGTTGCTATATTTGTCCCTAAACTTTTGAAAAAACTCTCAAAAGGGGCGGGGAAGTCATTAAATCTAGCTACAAAGTAGCTAAATTGGCAACACTGATTAAGCTGCAGTGAACACGCATGCACAACACACACTTCCGGTTCTGACGCCATCGCCACGCAACGCGAGAATCATTCAATTAAATTCAAATCAATTCAAGTTTATTTGTATAGCGCTTTTCACGATACAAATCGTTTGCAAAGCAGCTTTCCAGAAAATCAAGTTTCTACAATATATTTAGTAGTAGCTTGTCAGTGGTGATTATGTCAAATGTTTTTTTTTTTTTAAATGCTTTATTAATTCAATGCCACGAGAACATGAGGTATTACATATTCACATTATCAAATTAACATTATTAGCTGCCAGAGAAAAAACAAAGAAAATAAAAAAGGAAGACAATTACATAAAGTTCAATGCTTTCAGAGCATTACATGTTTGCAATGCTTTTTTGTTTTTTGTTTGTTCTAAGAGATCTACATTAATTTAAAGTCATTTATAAAATGTGCAAAATTTGGTTTACATTGAGCCCACTTCTTCTTATGTATATGGAATTTTCCTAACACAATAAACAAATGTATAATATGCTGTTCTTTACCATTTAAATTGTTGTTTTCTGTATGAAAAAGTACATCAAATATACACATTTCTATCATACACTCCATTTTTCTGTTTTCGTTTTTCTGTCCAAATCCTTCCAAAATAATCTTGAGTAAATACAATGAAAAAAAAAAGAGTTTAAATATAAATAGTTTCTTTTTCTTGACCACAAAATTCACAGGTATACGAAATATTAAGCTTAAATCTTTCCAAAACATGCTTAGCAGGATAAATTCTGTGAAGTATTTTGTAAGTCACTTCCTTAATTTTGTTATTGATACAAAACTTATTTGGCAGTTTCCATGCTTTAACCCAAGAGATATTACCAAATAAAGAAGACCAAAAAAATCTTGCTGCAGGTAGGGACACAGAACAAAGAGCATTCCTTATAATCTTATTGCTATACTGTTGTTTTAAAACGGCAACATTTTCAATGAAAATGTTACCACAAGGATTAACCACGCTGATTTCTTCACCTTACATATACCTAAACCTACCCGTCTCCACCCCCTGATCCCTAAACCTACCATCTCCAACCCCTAGATGTGGATCCAACCACGCCCCCTGGATCTTGTGTTCTGCAGTGAGGGGCTACTGCCCGTAGTCCCATTTAACAACTTGATAGCAACCGTCTTTTTTAAGAAACATAACAGTTTAAAAAAAAATCACGAGTGGGGTGTAACTGGTGTGTTTTATGTTGTAGAATAAAACGTGACAGTATTTTGAGCTTGTGTGAACCACTGAGCTTATTTTAGGGGATTTAATCAAACTCCCATTCAAAAAACCCATTGACTCTGGGACGATGGAACCCAGTAGCCCCTCACTGCAGAACACAAGTGGAGACAGGTAGGTATATGAAAGGTGGGAGGAGTTGGACCTGGATCCAACCACGCCCCCTGGATCTTGTGTTCTGCAGTGAGGACCATCTCATGGAATCAGAAGTGCTAAAAGGCTAACTCGCTTCCAGGTTTTTGCCTACAAAGTGACGTCATAGTTCCGCCACTCTATTAACAGCAATGATTATATGTTGCAATCAAACTTGTAACCAAATTTGGTAGTTTATGTTGTTTCAGGGTTGGCATCATCAGAGGTGTTCTGAGGGGTTGGATAAAATAGGAATTTGGGAAA